CTTTCCCTCTCAGCCAAAGTCCTGGAATGACTTGTGCACCTCGTCCATTCACACTCAACTGACATGGCCTGGCCTCCATGCCACGTGCAGCTGTCCACTAACACTTCATTCCAGGGACTTACTGATTGCCCAGTGTCAGTGGATGCTCACAGGTTCTTAGTCTACTTGACCTCTCTTTGGCATTTGCCAGAACTAACCACCCCCTTCTTGAAATTCTCTCCTCCCTTGGCTTCCCCCATGGTACCTCCCTTTGTCTCCTCCTTCTTCAAGGAAATTCCTCCAGTTACCTCCAAAAACACCTCTTTTTCCCTTCTCTTCACCCAGAAGTTGCCTTCCCGTTTCTGCCTTCTACCCTCTTGTCATGGTGCGGTCTTACTCACACAGACCCCCTCACTCTCATTGGCACAACTAGAACCAGCATCGCCAGGGCCCCGAGCTAGGTCTACAGTCAGACCTAGATCTCGTAGATCTCACTGAACTCTAGGGAGTTCCAGCCTGCTGAAGATGGCCTTGAATATCCCCAGGGCACCACCGATTTAGCAAGTCCAAATGTCTGCTTCTTCCTCTTTTGTTCCCTGTCTCAGTGAGAGACCATCTAGTCAGCCTCCCCTCTAAGCCTTCCAGTAGTTCCTCATCTCCTGTAGGATGAAACCCAAGCTCAGAGGCTAGCACGTCTACCCTAGCTCTCCAGGCCTGCCTGCATTTTTAGTGCAGTGTATTTGCACTGCTTTCACCATCCCTTAGTGGGTCGTGACAAACATTTTTTAAAGAGTAGACTACAAAATATCAGAGGTCATTTTGCAGTTAAAGTTTTGCTTTTTGAAGAGTGTGTGTGTGTGATCAGTCACTGACAGTGTAAAATGAACTTCGTGCTATGATTACATTCAAAACAGTGTGGAAACTTCTGCTCTGGCTCTAGCCTGTAGGCCTTCTGGGGTAGGCAGGTAGCTAGTAATGAGGGGGCAGCCCTAAGAGAATAGCAGAAGGACACATGTCACATCAATCACAATTTATCAGGAGTTACAACCAGACCCTCCATAAGATGCCTTCTTCCCATCTAGCTCCTGGAGCCAGGAAGGCGAGGCAAATACCATTTTCCTTCCTTGGTACCTGAGGTAGACACACATGGATGATTGTAAATTTCTCTCTTATCATCCCTCGTGAATACAAAAAGACCCAACCAAGCATTTTGGTCAACATCCTGATTCCCACTGGGGCGATAAACTAATTGGGCAGCCTATCCTAGTTAAACATCCTGGCTCACACTGGGCATGCTCAGTTAGGTAATTAAATTCCTCAAATTCTTCACCTGTGAGAGAGATGAGTAAGCGCGGGAGAAAACACAGAATTCAGACAAAGGACATAGATAGTGTGACAGACCTCCCACCATTAAATATTCATGATCACCTCTGATAATAAAAGTAACACCTAAACCAGTTCCAAACACAGCAGTTGCTACCTAGCAACCTGCCCGCCCAAAAGCCTTTTGAGTGTACTTCTTTTCTAAAATCTTTCTTTCCTATTAAATTCTCTTTCCTACCTACTTTTATTGTGCACCTAGGGGCAGGTCTCTAATTTTAGTGATCTGGACCCAAAGAACCAAGGACTTCACAACATAGCTCAACACTCTCCCATCCTATGACACTTCCAGCCTGAGTTTCATAGAGTTATCTTCTAGTCCAGTCAAACAATACTGCCAGAAGTTTCCAGAACCTCAGTCTCATGTCTCCATGCTTGTGAACCTATTACTTGGTGAACACCTGTTAGTCTTTCAGGACTCAATTCAATGGCTGTCTTCTCCCAGGACGTGAACCCAGGCCCCTTCCCGAGTGGGTTCCGTGGTGTCACCTAGGTACCACCTCCTAAGCCTTAGCACTGCTTTAGTAGAGACCACTGGGGGTCTACACTGAAATCATCCCAGGAGCCTTAAAAAACCAATGCCTTGGACCTACCTCCTGAGCTTCACTTAATCCTTTCCCCTTCCCCCTCAAAAGATCACCCCTGCAGCAACCGCCTTCAGAAAATCCTTTCTCTGGTACCAGCAGTTAGCGTAATGGCTATGTCGCTGGACTCCCACGTGGTCGACCGCGGTTCAAGTCCCGGACCCAGGGGCTTGAACTCACGCTGGGCATGTGTGCGTGCGTGCCCAAGATGCCGAGAGGAGAATGGAGGAGAAGGGATTGCAGCGTGGCCATTCTCCCTGGGGGGTGATTTCTCACTTTCTCTCTGTCTCTCTCTGTCTGTCTGGCAAGCACACGCGCCCTATAGCAAAAACCTCTCCAAAAAAAGAAAAAGAAAATCCTTTCTCCTATTTACTCCTCCCCTCCCCTGGTTTCCAGTACCTGCTTCTAACTTATCACCTCCAGTGCCTCCTATGCCTATGCAAATCTGCCCTCCTAACCTGTAGGATTCTCAAGGTAAATATCACATATTCACCTTTACACCCTGGCACATGAGAGAGCCTTGATAAAGTGTCAGATGAGGGTCCCGATGCTGGGTACTTTGTAAAATGCTTTATGTGTATTAACTTAGTTTATCTTCACTGTGATGCAAATAGTATGTTCTCCACTCTGCAGATAAGAAAAGCGAGGCTCAGAGGTGAGCAACATGCTCAAGACTGCTCGAATTATGACCGTAACAAACCAGAAATTGAGCTGCCTGGCTGCACTAGCTCACGCTGTCCTTGCTAACACCTTCATCATATAGAGTTGGTTTCCCAAGTGCTCATCTGGCCGCTCTGGCCAGATGGGAGCAATCTGAGCAGGGACTGCTTTCTGCCATCCCCGTCACTGCCCATCTTCCTCCAGCCCATTTCACTGGATGTGGTCCTCTCTCCAGCAGCCACGCTCGTGCCCAGGGAGATGCACTTTGAGGTGTGCAGGGAGGCTGAAGGGACGGAGATTCTGCCCTCCCAAGAAACTGTCCCCTTCCCGGCAGGACCCCTCCCTCGCGCTTACTTTGGGTCCTTTGCTGCTGCTCTTGTGCAGTCACAGTTGCTTGGAGGCCCTCCAGGTGACTCAGCTCCTCCTGGATTTTCGCAGTTAGAGTCTTGGTGTTCTCTAAATCCTCTTTTAGCCTCTGGATCTCAGCATCGGCCTTCTGCAGACTGCTCTCTAACATCCGCGTTTGGGAATTTAAGGCGGCAGCATCCGTCATTCCTTGTTTTAGGGTCTGTATCTCTTTGCTAGCATTTTTAAAATAATCATCTAACACCTGAACCTGGGAATGTAAGGTTTTGGCATTTTCCAGCTCTGTTTTTAGTACTTGGATCTGAGCATCTGTCTGGTCCAGACGGTTGTTTGCTGTTTGGGTCTGGGTGGTGACGGTTTCCAAACCCCTTTTTAGTAAGTGAGTCTCATTCCCAGCCCTTTCCAAGTGACTTCTCAATAACCGAATCTCAGCACTGGTGTTTTCTAAACTGCTGTTTAGAAAGGCCTGCGTCTGGGAGTTTAAAGCATTTGCCGTCTGCACACTTCCCTCTAGCCTCTGCACTGCCTCGTTGGCTCCTTCCAAACCACTTCTTAAAACCTGGTTCTGGGTTTTCAGATCACTGATACTATCCAGATGGGCCCTCAAAATGCTGATCTCGGCATTAGCATTCTTTAAACTACTATTTGCCAACCCAGCCTGGGCATTGGCCAGTTCCAAGCCTTCCTTCAAAATCTGAATTTCAGTGTTGGCGCTTTCTAAGCCTCTGCTTAACATGTGGAGCTCAATGCTGGTGTTTTCTGAACTAGCTATTAAGAGACTCTGGGTCTGGGAGGTTAAAGCCTTTGCCTTTTCCAGACTTCCTTTCAGCCTCTGGATCTCAGTGTTGGCCCCCTCCAGGGAACCCCTTAACATCTGGGTCTGCAAACTCGAGTTCTTGGTATTTTGTAACGCGCCTTTTACTGACTGGATATCAACACTGGTGTTTCCCAGATGGTCGCTGAGCATCTGGATCTGAGAGCTGACATTGTCCACTCTGCATTTCAACATCTGGATTTCCACATGCCAGGAGCTGGAATTCTCCACGTGGTCTTTAAACATCCGGATAGCCTCTCGCACCTCTGCCACCTTGCCCAAGTGGTGGTGATCTGGAGGGAGAGAGTGGAGAAGGCAGCCAGAGAGGCCTGTTACATAGGGAAGCACGGCATAGGCCAACCAGGTTGTTCTGGAAAGTTCCAAGGGACATACTGCTGCCCAACCCTGAGTGTTCCTCAGGCAGCCTGCTGTTCACTGCAGCCACCAGCCCCCAGAGGTGGACCACCTGAGACTGTGAACCAAAACAGCAATGTAAATAAGGACCCGCTCTGCTATCACACATGAACGAGGGGGCTGGGGTGGCTGAAATACTTGCCTCCTGTAAACCAGCTGCCATCAAGTCATGCTGGCCAGGCTGGGACTTTCAACGTGCAAATGATGATGACATCATTTAGAGTGGTGGAAGTGTAATTCCCACTAAAACTTCCCCTTCCATAGGTGATGGTGAAAAAGAAAATGCATATGAACAAAGTTTAGTCCTATCGTGTATTTGTACACCAAGCAAAAACCTTGATGCATCGTTATTTCCTAAAAACTGTGTAGACAGTAAACACAAATTTTCTGATCACAAATTTCATAGGGAGAAAAAAGAGGTACCCCAGAAGGAAGCAACTTGTTCAATCCACAGGACTGGGGTAGGGATGCCCTGCCCTCCAGGTGACACTGGACGTCAGCAGCAATGGCCTTTTAAAGGGCTGGCACCCCCAGTGTTACACAGGACAAGGGTCCCTACAGAACAGTGGGAGGATAGGGGTGACCTGAGGGAAAGGTCTTGGTCACTAGGTCCATCCAAGGAAACTGCAGCCCCTTTCATCTGCATCTGCTTCAGGTCCTGCTAGTACCCTTTGCTCCGTCATCACAGGGACTTTATCTCAGATATTCACAGTTGCCTCCTGATTCCAGCTCCTCTCAGGACCAGGGAGATGAACCCAGGTAGACAGGGACCCTTCTGGAGCATGCACACAAGACTCCTCACACTCACTGGGAAGAAGTGGGGACCACTGTGCTGCAGAAAGGCTGGGAGGCCTGCGGAGGTCTGCGAAGTTCAGTCAAAGTTTCTGCCTCATAAAGCTAAACAATAGACTTGCGCAATGGAATGAAGAATCCAGAATTAGACCCACACTTTTGTGGACAGATGGTCTCTTCAACAAAGGTGCAAAGGCAATTCATGGAGAAAGGCTCATTTTCTCAACAGTGCTGGAATAATTGAACACCCAAGCACACAAAAAAGAATATGAATGTATTCCTTTAGCTAACCTTATAGCACCACGCTTAGGCATTGCTCATTGGGAGGCAGATCCCAATGCTTTCAATTCTGACCCTGGTGCCTTGAGAAACATGTTGGGCATCTGCGCATGCATGCCCACAATCCTGGCAGGAAGGAGAAATGGAGAAGAAGAGATTATGGCCTGACCATGTCACATGAGGAGGTGTTTTCTCTTTCTCTCTCTCATAAGCACATGTACCCCTTGGCGATAAAAAAATTGTCCCTCACACTATTATATAAAATTGACTCAAAATGAATAGGCCTAAAAATAAAACAAACAAAAAAACCTATAACATTTCCAGAAGACAAGTTGGGAGAACATCTTTGTGGCCTTGCTAGAGATCTCTCAGATACAAAAGCATAATCCATCGAAACAAAACAAAACAAAAAGAATTGGATAAATCAGACCTTATCAACAGTAAAATCTTGCTAAGAGAATGAAAAGACAAGTCACAGACTGAGAAAATATCTGTAAATCACATGACTGGTAAAGAACAAAAATGAGCACATACGATGTGATCTCATCTATATAAAACTCTAGAAAGAGGCCAACAGGTGATATGGTGGTCTGTACCAGGGACTCCCACATGGCATACCACAGTTCGAATCCCGGACCTGGCAGCTTGAAAATCATGAAGGGTGCATGGGCACGTGTGCCCAAAATCCCACGAGAAGACTGGAGGAGAAGGGACTGGGGCATGGCCATCCTCCCTGGTGGGGAGTTCTCACTTTCCCTCTCATCGACTCTCTCCAAGCTAGTGTGTGTACCCTACGGCAAAAACCTAAAAAAATAAATAAATAAATAAAAATTAAAGAAAAGAAGTAAACCAATCTGTCGTCATGGCAAGTAGATCCGTGGTTCACTGAGGAGGGAGGAGGGGAAGGAAGGGATTATAAAGAACCAGAGGTAAACTTCGTGGGAGGACAATGACTATTTCACTGTCTCGATTGTGATGACATTTTCTTGCCTGGTGAGGGCAAGAGCACCTGCTGTACTTATCACACAGGGGCTGAGGGAGGAGGAAAACGAAGCGCTTCGAACTGTCCACCTGAGCTCCTCAGGGCTCCGGTAGCAATACAGAAGGGTCTCAGCATCTTGAGGGAGACTGGGTGGCGTGCAGGGCACAGATGCCAGCACAGAGGGGTGGGCAACACTAGCATGGTATGAACGAAAGAAAAACAGAAGAGGGGGCAGCCAGTGGAGTGGCGGTCAAGGCCATATACATATGTCAAAGCTTAGATGATATGCTTTCAATATGTGTGATAGTGTGTGTTTATAGACCCTGGTTGAAGCTGGATCTTTAAAATGATGATCTCTTGGGGCCAGCAGGTGGCATGGTGGTTAAAGTGCTATACATCCCACATGGCTGACCATGGTTCGAGTCCCAGACCTGGTGGCTTGCTTTCTCACTTTCCCTCTCTCTCTCTTTCTCTCTGTCTCTCTCTCTGGTCAAATTAAAATAAATGAATGAATAAATAAAATTTAATAAATAATTTTTTATAAAGAGGATCTCTTTCTATAAGGAGGGTGGAACTCATTCAGAGCCTGGGGCTGTTGAAGGAGAAGCTCGTTGCAGGGTCTGGGCACCTGAGTGCCCATGCCCGAGCTCCCTCCCACTTCCCACCCACTGTGGCTACTCACAGTTGGGTTCCACGGGTAGCTGTCTAGTACTGTTGTCCCCCAGAACCACGTCTCGAAACTCCTGGAAGGAAGGATCTGCCTCCAGCACAGGTCCTGGGGACTGTAGAACTGAGACACCCCATTCCCAGTCAGCACATTCTTAGGCCTAGCCTGGGACAATAGGCTGTCCTACCCAGTTAGGCTTCCAGAAGCAAGGAGATGGCACCAAGGACTCTCTCAGAGTTTCCTTCACGAGCCTCAGTGCTTGGGAGGCTCCTGGACAGTGGCTTCTGTCTAGTCCCAGGAAAGCTGTGGTCTGAGCCTGGGGATAGAGGCGGAATGACCCTCTGGGATCAGAGGCACCCCGAAAGTGTATATCTGAGTCTCTTGGGGTCTTTGCACAGGGAGAAGCAGAGAGCATGGGGACGGAGGGTTCAGGTCAGCTGGGAACTTACCCACAATAAAGAGAGCCACAAGACAGGAGACCACACTCATGGCCGCAAGTGCCAGGGCAGCCTTAATAAGCCTGTGCTTCCTGGGGGCTGCAGGAGCCACTGCGGTGGAGCCCATCCCTGCAGGGGAGAAGCCAGGTCAGGATGAGAGGCTGCGGTGCAGGAGGGCACTCTGGCTGTCTCCTGGTTTGACCCGTGAGGACAAGAGCACCTGCTGTACTTATCACACAGGGGCTGAGGGAGGAGGAAAACGAAGCGCTTCAAACTGTCCACCTGAGCTCATCGGGGCTCAGGTAGCAATACAGAAGGGAGGACTCTCAGCATCTGAGGGAGCCTGGGTGGCGTGCAGGGCACAGACGCCAGCACAGAGGGGTGGGCAACACTAGCATGGTATGAACGAAAGAAAAACAGAAGAGGGGGCAGCCAGTGGTGTGGCGGTCAAAGCAACTGGATTTCACACGGCCAGCAGAGTGGTTTGAGTCCCTGACTCAGCAACTTGGAAAACACACCAGGCACATGTACGTGCATGCCCAAAATCCTGAGAGGAGAATGGAGGAGAAGGGATTACAGCCTGGCCAAACCCCCTGGGGGTGCTTTCTCACTTTCCCTCTCCTTATCTCTCTCTCTGTCTCTCTCCAGCAAGTGCATGAGCAAATTAAAAATAAATAAATAGCTAAATATACAAAGGAGGGAGGGAGGAAGGGACAAGAAAAAGGACAGGCAGGAACACTGACCTGAGTCCCAGGGCCAGTCTTGCTGACAAATCCTGACCACAGCAAGAGCCCAGACCCTCCGGGGCAGCGCTGCTGTTTTGCCCACAGCTAACATGGGCCAGCTGTGGAGCCTTCCTCTGCTGGGGCCACGATGACCCTCATGGGGGTCCTGGGAAGGGCTTCCCTGAACATTCCAGGGCTGTGGTTAGGGCAAAAGGGTGTGTAGGGTTTTTTTACCCAAGGTGACAGAAACCAGCCTGGAACTGCAGAGGCCCAGTGTGCAGAGCTAGGATTCAAAACCCAGGTCCTCCCATAGGTCCATGGGGCCAGCAGGTAGTATGATGGATAAGGTGCTGGACTCACACATGGCCAAAGGCAGTTCAAGTCCTGGACCTAGTAGCTTGCTTTCTCACTTTCTCTCCCTCTCTCTCTCTCTCTCTTTCTCTCTCTTCCTCTTTCTCTTTCCTCTTGCATGTGCCCTAAAGCAAATTAAGAAATGATAATAAAATTAAATAAATAATTTTTTAAATGGTCCATTAAAATTCCAAGTTCAACCCCTCATGGTCCCAGGTTGTCAACCCCAAGGGGAAGGTTCTGTGGAAGAGTAGAGACATGGAGGTGATCCCAGCATCCCTGTCCTCTTCCTGACCCACCTATGCCCTTGCCTGCTTGTTCTGGAGGCCAAGACACTGACGTGCCAAGCTCCAGCCTGCCAGTGAGGGGCTTGGAGACATGGCAGAGGGCTGGGGGACAAGCAGGCCGGTCCTGATCAGGGATGGGCTGGGGCCATTTTCTCACCTTGAGGGTGCAGGGACACACGCTGGCTATCAGAGCAGAAGTGGACTGTGTCACCGTCCGTCTCAGAGTCCCTCATCCTCCAGTGCTGATCCCAGTCACCAGCTCAGGAAGGTGGACCTGTGGGCCAGCGGCCGTTGGGCAAAGCTGAGACGCTCCAGACCAGCAGGCTCCTGACTGGCTCCCAATGCCCTCGTGGCTCTGTCTCCCTCTTCTAATGACTGGGCAGAAACCCGCCCCAGAGTGGCCCCTCCCCTCCGGGCTCTGGCTTCCATCTGTCCAGGGCCCTGTCTTCTTCTTCCTCTTCCCATACACACCTCCTCTCTCAGTCCTGTCATTTCAGATTCTGCCACATCCAGTGTAACCCCAAACACTCGTACCCCAAAGTCACCATCTTCTCTCTTCTCTGAGACTGAAACTGGCCCCTAGGAGAGGGAGTCTCAGTTTGCAGACCCCAGTCCCAGCCCCAGACCCTCTTAAGTCAAAGGAGGCCAGTCAAAGTGAGGGTAGCTGGCTGGGTCAGGGTCACAGGGTATGGCAGTTCACTCTCTGCCTGCTCAGACACCCCTGATTGGATGACAGGAAGGGGCCTTGGGGAGTGAGTACAAACCAATATCCATGGCCTTTGTCCTGGCTCCTCAGGCCTGGTGTTTCCTGAGTGACAGCACTCGTTCGCTACTCGTAATGCGTCCTTTTGACTCTACCTGAGTTTTCCAGTGAGGTGATGGCCTGGGCCCTATGTAGTTTCAGGATGGGGCTATTTCACAGAAAGACCCAACATGTGATTAGAGCACAGGATCCTTGAGTCACCACTCCCAGACCTCCAGGGAGGAGAGAGGGTTATAAAAACTCCTGAACAAGGGCCAGCAGGTAGCATGGTGGTCAAGGCGCTGGACCACATGTCTGACCACGGTTTGAATCCCAGACCTGGTGGCTTGCTTTCTCACTTTTCCCCTCTCTCTCATCAAATTTTAAAATAATAAAAATAAATAAAATAAATAGTTAAAAAAAATAACTCCTGAACAAGTTCAAGGGACTTCCGGATTGATGTCTCATCCTCCATAGAGACACAAACTCCTGCACTCAGGAGCCTTCTGGATTTTGCCCTGCACACCTCTTCATCTGGCTGTTTGCAACCTCCATAGAACATTCTACCAGTAAGTGTCATGTTTCCTGAGTTCTGTGAGTTGTTCTGAATTTCAGAACCCAAGAACCCCTAAATTTGCAGACAGTCAGTCAGACAAAAGTGGGGGTGACCTGAGGACCTCACTTTGAGCTGGCATCTGAAGCAGGAGCAGTCTGGTAGGACGGAGCCCTCACCCTGCAGAATCTGTGCTGGCACCCAGAGTCAGCGTCAGGATGGAATCGGTGTGTAGGAAGCCCAGCTGTGGGAAGGTTGAACGGTGGCGGGAAGAACCACATGGCTAGTGTGAGAAAGTACCAAGCAGGGCCCAACCTAACGCAAGAACTGACCTTCAGCTGACGGGTTCATGGTCCCTGAACTGACCAGGTTCTCAGGCCACGTCGAAGAAACTGCTGGGTGAGACTGGGGATAAAGCACCACATTTCAGGGCTATCTGTACTTCCAGGAGGAACGAATACTGCTTCAGGGGACGTCTGCTGCTTGGCAGGTCAGAGCTAGAAAGGGGAAGTGAGGCTTCCCAGCAGCAGTGCCATGCAGCTGTGCAGGCCTGGCATCCCTGTGTCCACAGAGCAGTATTGCCATTGGCTGCCGGGGCACCCCTCTCAAAGGCAGTTATGGGGGGGATTCCAGCAGATCTCATCCCTTGGTTCCTCTTTCTCCTGCAACTTCTGATGGCTACCAGCTATGGAAATGGGTCGCATTTTCTCTATCTGATGAGAGTCTAATGTGATGTTAGGCCCCACCGCAGCGGCCCATACAAGCCGCCACTTACCACCCTGAGGTGTGCTGTGCGGCCTTCCAAACGTCCTGCTCCCTCAGTTCCTATGTCCTGCTTCTAAGTCAGTTTCACACGTCCCAGGGTCAGTTTTCCCTACGTCTCTGGGTACCAAGTAAAAAGACGGCAGACCAAGTCCACTGTGGAGAAGCCATCCAGACAGTCCCTGCTCCTGAACCGGGGCCAGGGCAGTGGCTCCTTCTGGAAGGGGCCTGTGTAGGGGGGTGACTGCTGTCAGCTCAGTAAGCAACAAGCCCCAGTTCACGATGCTGTGAGCGTGAGTGAGAGTGTGAGTGTGTAGAGTAGGGGAGGAGCATGTCTGTAGAGTCTAAAGCCATGCTCCCCGTTATTCCTCCTGTCTGTTGAAAGCTGGCCTGGGAGGAATTAAGGGTGTAGCAGGAATTGGAAGGGCCCCATAGGAATGGGAAGGGCTCCATTTCTGGGCCGGTCAAGAGCTCTGCACAGAGCCCCAGATGTGTCTGCCATGGCACTACTCCTCCACGTGCGAGGGGGCTGCTGGAGGGTCCTCCTCACAGGCTCACCAGGAGACCAGGGTGTTGGTAGAAAAGAGAGGGCAGGAACCAGCAGATGGGGTAGTGTTTATGTCACTGGACTCCCACATAGTCAACCACGGTTCTAGTCCTGGATCCGGAGGCTTAAAACTCATGCTAGGCACATGTGTATGCATGCCCAAAATCCTGAGAGAATGGAGGAGAAGGGATTGTAGAGTGGCCATCCCTCTTGGGGGGTGATTTATCACTTTCTGTCTCCCTGGCAAGCACATGCACCCTATAGCAAAAATCTCTTTAAAAATAATAATAATAACAGAAAGAGAGAGGGCTGGTCTCAGTTTCTATTTCCCCCCATACCAGAAGGTCCCAGGTTAGGCTCACTTGAGAGCTGTTTCCCCTTTGGGCCAGAGGGGCTGAGAGGGCCTCAGAAGCAGAACTTTAGGGATCGCTGCCCAGCTGGATTGGGGTCAGCAGGGGGCACAGTCCTCTTCCTCCTCTTACCCTGCCTTCCCTGTCCCCATTCTCAGCTGACTGCTATTCTTCCCACCCCCAGAGTCCAAGCTCTTGTATTTCCAACCAAAACTCTCATGCCAGTAGTGAAGAAACACCAGGAGATTGCTGTCTCCTTGCTGAGAGGTTGTTTCCCCTGTTCTCTGGCCAGAGAAAAACAGATGGGCATATGATACGTCGATACCAGAACCACTCTGCAGCTGGGATCACTCAGACAGTTAGCTTTTTCTACCTCACGGAGGGGTACAGGGCCATGCTCTTGAGATCTGCAGTTTACCTACTACAAGGAATGAGTGTTGTTCAAAAAGGAATGTTCCACAAATGTTACCATGGCAAAACTGGAAGAGCCTACAGTTGGTGCTATTGTGAACAAACAAGTTAAGGGCAAGACTCTTGCCAAGAGAATTAATGTGCATATTGAGCATATTAAGCACTCTAAGAGCAGAGATAGCTTCCTAAAACGTGTGAAGGAAAATGACCAGAAAAAGAAGGAAGCCAAAGAGAAAGGGACCTGAGTTCAACTGAAGCACCAGCCTGCTCCACCCAGAGACGCACTCTGTGAGAACCAATGGGAAGGAGCCTGAGCTACTGGAACCTATTCCCTATGAGTTCATGGCATGATGAGTGATAAAAATAAACTAAACTATGATATATAAAAATGTTTTTCTTAATTGAGTAGAATTGTGTTCCCTCCCCAAAGCTAATTTTAATTGGACTCTAATTTATTTTGTAATATCTTTATTGAAATTTAGTATTTTTTTAGCTGAAATATGTTAGGTGGTTTATTATGCAACAAATAAAACTCAGTTGTTTACAAAAAGGAAAAGATAAGATAAATATCTGCATCCACATTGATATAATGGATATTTGAATAAATAGGTAACATCTCCTGTGCAGAAAAGTTCCAAATGACTTAGGTAGATATTCAACTCTCAAGAAGGGGAGAGGTAACCCCCCTGCTCCTGAAGTGTGGGCTGTCTGTGGTGACTTCCTTCCAAAGAGTACAGTATGGAAAGGAGGAAAAGAGTAACTTCACAGTGAATAAACCTGACAGTCCCCACTATGATGCAGAGGTCAAGGTCGACACCAACAGTAACGAATACCCAAATAGTGTGTACCCTCGAGATGATGGGATAGGAATGACACTTCATCTCGTGGTCTTCCTCCCAAAACACATCATCCCAGTGAATTCATGGGAGAAAAAAAAAGTCAAATTCCAATTAAGGGACATTATACAAAATACCCAACCAGTGTTCTTCAAAGATGTCAAAGTAATGAAAAACAAGGGAAGTCTGAAAAACTCGCAGACAAAAGGAATCGAAGGAGACATGGTGACTAGATGCAGTGTGGACCCTGATGGGATCCTAGAACAGAAAAACTAATATCCTGAATAAAGTATGGACTTCAGATTATAATAGTGTGTCCATACTGGTTCGTCAGTTGTGACAAATGTGCCTTATTAAGATAAGATGTTAATAACTGGTGAAGTGGAAGGGGATATGTAGCAACTGTCTGTATTATCCTCACAATTTTTTTGTAAAGCAAAAGCTACCATAGAATTAAAAGTTATTTAAGGAAAAATATATTAAACAGCTTATGGAATGTCAGAAGACCAGAGGGTCAAGCTTTGGAGTCTATGTTGTCAGGGAGAGTGTTTCAACAACACTGAGAGGCTGTGAGGAATGAGGACACCAAATCTGGGCTGAGCCCTGAACCAACCTCAGGACAAACCAAAGGTGTCTCATAGATGAATCTTATTGGTGGAGCCTGAGTCACATGCTTGTACCTTTCTGCAAGGAAAGTTGCAAATGCTAATTCTGCTTCTAACTTAGCATGTCAAAACTCAAAATATAGGAAATTACTTAAAACAAGAGTCTACTCAATTGGGTGGAAGGACCACAAAAGCATGCCGAATGTTTTTCTCAGTGACAGTTCTATTGCATGTCTGTGGATCTTGTTATTGCTAGAAGTGTTTATGCTCTTACGTGTAGCAAATCACTTGTCATGCTTCTTAAAAAAAAAAAAACAGGCCAGCAGGCGGCATGGTGATTAGGATGGGGGACTACCACACTGCCAACTACAAGTCAATTCCCAGACCTGGCAGCTTGTTTTCTCACTTTCTCCCTTTCTGTTTCTCTCTTGCGAGCTCACATGCTCTCTAGCAAATTTAAAAATAATAACTAACTAAATAAAATTAAATAAATAGTTATTTTTAAAAAGGAGAAAGCAAACAACCAATTAAGATTGTGTCACTTACGTGCTTGAAACACTTCTGTGGCTTCCCCCTTGTCCTTCAAATGAAATCCCAAATCCTTCACGTGGGTCCGAAGACTCCCCATGAACTGCCCTGCTCCCTGCTCCATCACACACCCGACTCCAGTACACTGGGCTGCCCTCGGTGCCTAACAGGAGATACTCCATGTCTGCATTTTGTTTCCTCTGTCTCTCTTTGTGTCCCCACCGTGCTCGCCGCCTAAATCCTGCTCATCTTGCAAGACTCAGCTTATGAATCACTGCCTGAGGAAGCTTACTAAGTTATTTTGCTTTGTGTTCCCATGGAAAAATAAAATTCCTTTTTAAAAAATTTTATTTATTTATTTATTGTCATTATTTTTCAATTTGACCAGAGAGAGACATAGAGAGAGAGAGGGAAAATGAGAAAGTAAGCCACCAAGTCTGGGACTTGAACTGTGGTTGGCCATGTGGGAGTCCAGCTTCTTCAACCACCATGCTACCTGCAGCCCCAATAAAATTCCTTTTTAAAAAAAACATTTTTGGGATCAGCAGTTAGTGTAATGGCTATGTCACTGAACTCCCATGTAGTCGACCACGGTTCTAGTCCCTGACCCAGTGGCTTAAACTCGCGCCGGGTGTGTGTTCGTGCATGCCCAAGATCACGAGGAGAATGGAGGAGAAGGGATTGCGGCGTGATCATCCCCTCTGGGGGGTGATTTCTCGCTTTCTGTCTCTATGTCTCTCTCTGTCTTTCTGGCAAGTGCACGCACCCTATAGCGAAAACCTCTCCAGAAAAAAGAAAGAAAGCTATCTCTTTCTGTCTTTCTGGGAGCGCACATGCCCTGCAGCAAACACCTGTCAAAAATATTTTTGTTGTTGTTCTAGGTTTTTGTCATAGGGCACATGTGTTCGACAGAGAGAGACAGAGAGAGGAAAAGTGAGAAATCAATCCCAGAGGGGATGGCCATACTGCAATTCCTTCTCCTCCATTCTCCTCTCGGGATTCTGGGTACTAATGCAAGCACGCCTAGTGTGATTTTCAAGCCACTGGATCTCAGACTTGAACTGCTCTTAGCCATGTGAAAATACAGCACCTTACCTACCATGTTCCCTGCTAGCCCCTAAAATTCCTTCTTTTTTACTAATTGGGTAACCCTGGGTGCTTTCCAAAAAAAAATAAAAAATAAATAATAGATAATGTGTTCTGTAATAACAACAAAACAGAGGGAAAAATCTGGAAGTCGCTTTGGGAACCGAGAAGGACCAGAAAGACTAGGAGGATTTCAGGTAGCTCCAAAACCTCAGCAGCCTTGGGCCTGCCCTAGAGTGCCCTCAGCATCCTAGCTACCCTCTTCTCGACACCATTCTCTGTTCTCTGTCAGATATGGTTCCAGCAGGTACCCCACGAGGCTCCCTCCAGCCCCTGGTCAGGTGAGATGTTCAAGAAAGCCAATGGCAGCCCCTGAGCCCAGAGCTGAGCCCCAACCAGGGTGGCAATTTAGGAATAATACCAACAATCCCAGGAGCCAGGGCACTTTGTAAAGAAAAAAGTGACTGATAGACACCTCCACCTGCAAAATATAACAGTTGATCTTCCAAAGCACCAGAAAAATAAAACCAAAGAAAACATTATCTACACAACATGAAAAGAATAAGAAAGGGAGGGAGGGAGATTAAATAAATAAAAGAGAGAGAAAAGTAGCAGAAAATAGAAAATAGAATAGTGCACATTCAGATCAGTCAGCCAGCAGAACAAAGGCAATTTTTTTTCTCCTCTCTTTTTATATTCAAATGCAAAAGTATAGATATTTATAGAATATTTTATTGCAACACTGAAAGAGAACATGTGAACCATGGTTAGCCTGCTGAATCAGAAAGAAAGAAATGAATACAATAAATACCCATGGTGAATGAAATGAAGTTCTCATTTGTCCCTCGCTCTTTTCTTTTCATTTTATTTTATTTATTTGATCTTATTTATTATTATTATTTAAGTTTTGCCATTGGGTACAAGCGCTCACCAGAAAGGGGATGAGGGGAGCAATGAGGAAACAAGCCACCAGGTCCGGGATTTAAACCATGGTCAGCCATGTGGGAGTCCAACACCTTAATTGCCACACCACCTGCTGGCCCCACCTGTCCCTGGCTCTTAACTCTCCATGTGACCATGAAAAATTTCCCAGAATTACTTGGGAAATAGTTTGGGGTCCATGACTTGAGGAACCGCCTCAGTACTGATAATGCTCCAATGACCTCCTTGCTCACCCCCTCTTCTGAGACAGGACTAAACCACTAATTTTTAAACATTTTTATTTATTTATTTAAGATTTTTGCCACAGGGTATGTGTACTCACTGGAGAGAGAGAGAGAGCGTGCGGGAATGCGAGAAATCACTTCTCCAAGGGATGGCCACGCCACAATCCCTTCTCCTCCATTTTCCTCTCAGGATTTTGAGCACACGTGCACACACACCCAGCATGTTTTTCTTTCTTTCTTTCTTTCTTTTTTTTTTGAAGAGGTTTTTGCTATAGGGCGCGTGTGCTCGCCAGACAGACAGAGACAGACAGAAAGCGAAAAATCCCCCCCCAGGGGGCATGGCCACACCATAATCCCCTCTCCTCCATTCTCCTCTCAGGATCTTAGGCACACATGCACATGCACCCGGCATGAGTTTTAAGCCACCAGGTCCGGGACGCAAACCGCGATCAACTACATGGGAGTCCAGCGACATAGCCATTATGCTAACTGCTGGTCCCCAGCATGTTTTTCAAGCTGCCAGGTGTGGGACTCGAATCGTAATTGGCCATGCAGGATCCAACACCCTAAACATCACGCCATCTGCTGGCCCAGAACTAAAGCAGTATTGATGGTGGGATTCGGAGGGCGAGCCCTCCCTGCCAGTAGAAGTGCAGGTGCCCGCGTGGAGAAGCGAGCTCTGCATATGGGGGCAGTGAGCCAAGGTCACAAGACAAGGCAAGGCAAAGCTGTCTCAGCTTAGTAAAGGGAAGAAGGCATGCAGCTGTGCTTGCTGGTTACAGGAGGGACACAGGCCCCAGATAAGACACATCCTTGCTGACTCAGGGTCTTCATTTTCGAGAAAGAGCAATAGCTGGGGTCAGGAGAACTCTTGTCCTAGGATCTATATGTTCAGGAGCCCATGAGGACCAGAAAGACCGAGGATCTCAGGCAGTCGGAGACCTTGAGCCTGGCCTCTGCATCTTAGCTCCTCTCGTGCGTGCACCATTCCCTGTTCTCTGCCAAATGTGGTTCCTGCAGCTGTCCCACAATGGCCCCTCCAGCCTGACCGAGGCCGGGCCGCTGGACTTCCCTCTGTTAACTGCCTCACCCCAGTTCCTGGTTCAGATGCTTTTCCAGAGAAAGACTCCACTTGTCCCAGCCCAGAGGGTCGGTCATTTCATACCAGGGCCACTCAGAGATCCCTAACCAGCTTTGTTTGATCTGCTCCTGGTTACCCAACTGGTGAGGGTGAGATCCCTCAGCCTAGGTGGACTGAGATGCCCAAACACGTGACATCCAACACTGGACAGATGGGACTGAGGGCAGTGTATTTGTCACATACACTCATAGTCCAGGCGAGGAGGACGCCACCTGCCACGCAGGCCCACACGGGGTTACCCTCAGGATCAGAGTGAACCAGCTCAGGCTGTAGGAGGCAGGTGTGGTAGTAACAAGAGGGCGAGGTGCTCTGGTTCCTGCAGAAGGATGTGATTGGTTGTTTGAACAGTTTCCCAGGCTGGCAAGGAAGTGAAACCTGTTCTGTTGAAAACCAAGTGGAGCGCAGCTGGAGCAGCCAATAGGGAACTAGCCAGGTGAGGACCCTTTTCTGGAAGTGGGGCACGTCCAGTGAGAGCAGGGAAGTTCCTTGTTGGGTCTATAGAGCTCTGTGAGGCTCAAAGATGTCCTGGCAGCTCGTATTTTGAGACTTAGCATACAGTAGGCCTGTGTCCCTAGCTCTGACCCCTCTGCACCAGAACAGCACGCTACTGGTCACATTTAGGGACAGCGTCCTTTCCCTAGTACCCTAATGAGGACCCTAGCAAGGACCAGAGAGCTCACAGGTGTTCTTCCTGTTTCCTGTCCTGTCTGGGTGGTCCCCATGGTGGCCGCTGGACTTGGAATTTGGACCTGATGCCTTTGATGGGGCCTCTGTGAAGAATGGGAAATTGGCGAGCCTCCTTCTTGGGAATAAAGCTAGGGCCCTGAGAACATCTGAGAAGGAAGATCGCTTTGAAGGTCATGACCTTGCACACCTTGCTGATCTGGTTTCAGTAAGAACTAGAGATAAGTGGTGCTCATGGTTTGTGGCCTTTCTAGGTCTAGAACCTTCCTATTCCTGTTTATTTTTAACCCCTTGTTTCCAGAGGATACCCCACAACTTAGCATCCACCAAAGCAGAGTGCCTTCCCCCACGCTCACCTGCACAACCAGGAGTGGAAAGAAGCACAGAGAGTGAGACCTGGGCCAGGGCAGCAGTTTATTCTAAAGAAGCTTTGAAGTGAATCCTTTAAGATATTGACAGCCCCTTCCATGCACAAGGCATAGAAGAGGGGAAATGCAGAAGAAAGAGGAGGTGCAGGGAGGTGGAGAGAAAAGCTGCACAGTCCGCAGGGAAGCTGAGGTGGCCTCCATGGCCTGAGTGAGGGAGTGAGGAGGGAGGTGCTAGACCAGCTTCAACAGGACGCATGGCCAGGGGCACGGACAAGAAGAGCAATGGGAGCATGCCACCTGCCGGCCACCAGCACTCCTAAGCAGGCAAACGGGAATCCAGAGGGACTGACCAGGAAAGCCCTGGGTAACAGTATCAGGAGAATTGTCGGTTTGGTCTGAAGCAACTTACACAGAATAAAACTGAGACTTCTCTGAAGGAAGCAGAGAGCCCAGGGTATTGCCCAGATCTGCCTTCCAGCTGTGTGAACTTCCAAAGCTCTCCACCCTCCAGTCCCAGGTTAACCCAAGTTCTCCATTCCATTCCAGCTGCCTTTATGGGGGCAAAGAATTCCCAGCTGAGGCAGACGGGCTCCAGGGTGCCTTTGGGACCATTTTGAAACAAGAAAAATTTAGAAATCAAGGTGCAAAGTTATCTTGTAGTTGGGGGAAAGAGAAGCATTTTTTTCAAGTTCAACAAGCATTGGAATTCAAAGGACAAGCTTAGGGATCAGCTCTGTCATGGTTCTGCTGAGATGTAAGGTCGCTTACAGATGAAAAGGAACTGATTGTCACAGGGGGCGTCATTCCAGGACCGAAGAGAGGACACCCTTATGTTGGCACAGTGTTCATTGTTTCCGTTATTGTTGGGCTCACCTGGAATCCAGAACCTACCAAGTGAAGAAAGAAAGAAAGATCCATTTACAAAGTTGGAAAACAAATAACTTACCTCCCATAAAGAGATTAGTTACTCTTATTTATTTTGCTAGGGGGCACCAGAGAGAGACAGAGAGGGAGAAAGCACCCACATAGGGCATAGTCACAATGCAGTCCCTTCTCTCCATCTCTTCCTCCTTTTGGAATTCTGGGCATGCATACACATGTGCCTGGCATTTCTCAAGCCACTGGATCTGGGACTTGAACTGTACAGTAAGCCATGTGGGATCCAGCTGTCTTAACCACCAGGCCACAGGGCCAGCCCGAAATCAGTTATTTCAACCCCATCATTGGTCCTAGGTGTTAGCCTGGCATGGTTTTGCACCCAAGCCTGAAAGGAAGGGGACTGATGACACCTTAACCTCTAAGTCTCTGATCACTCCCCAAGTTAGGACCAAACCAGCTAACCCCTCTGAAGACCCTACGCAAACCTACACTGCAAAGCCTAGATTTCAGACAGAATCCCTGCCCAGACTAGGTGGGGCCCTTGCTGCCAAGCCCCAGAGGGCATGGAGGGCCACACATTGGTCCCAGCTCCCATGGCCAGTTAGTACCCCAAGTGAGCTAGAGTTGAGTCCTAATGTTCTTGCCACCCCAGGACAGGTGCTCATGGAGAGATATCAGCCCTGCTTCAGGCACCGGCCCTAGAATGGAAAGTTGGGCTTAGAGGGGTCTAGAGACTTACCTCTTGCTTTGGACCTTATCGAATGGTGTGTCGTCCACCCAGGTCCAGTCTCCCTCAGTCCCTGCCTTGGTCAGGCCAATCCAGTGGACAAGTCCACCTGCTGTCTTATACAGAAATTCCTGCAGGGAAGATGAAGTGAGCAGAGAAACAGCCTTGACTTGAGTCTGAGCATTTTGGTAACATCCCTGGACCCACAGACACCCGGCAGTGACCTCTCCCATGCCTCTTCATGCCCTAGTCCGTCTTCCCAATTCTGATTTGTCTTTGTCTTGCAACTCACAAACCAGGCCTCAGGCCTCTCTGTCCTTTAGGAAGCAGGTGCTGGAACCGAGACGCAGCTAGACTCCTGAGCAGGAAGGCCCAGAGAATGGCCCAGGTGATAACAACGGAAGTTAGTGAGTACCTAGCCTGTAGGAGATGCCATGCTAAGCCCTCCATATGCTTTCACTCCTCTGTTCTCCAAGGCAGGTACTGTCGTCACACACACACACACACACACACACACACACACACGGCTGCTGAGGCCTAGTGAAGGTAAGTATTCTACCCAGGATTTGAGGACTAGTTAGGTGACAGTTGAGGCCTCTAATTCCACAGTCCAGTCCATGCTCTTACCTCCTCTGCCATCCCACCTGCCTGATGAAGGGGGCCTGTTCAATATTCTGCCTCATTAGGCGGGAGACATCTTGGATGATAGGCTGTCATTTATGCTGTTCACAAATATCTCCATTTTCTGGGCATGTGGAAAGATTATACCTCATTGCCCTCTTTTGATTTATTTATTTGTTTGTTTTAAAGTTTTGCTGGAGGGTGCGTGCACTCACCAGAGACAGAGAGAGAGAGACGGAATGTGAGAAAGCATCTCCGAGAGGGGATGGCCACACCACAAACCCTTCTCCTTCGTTCTCTCAGGATTTGAGGCATGCGTGCACACACGCCCAGCATATTTTTCAAGTCACCGGGTCCAGGACTCAAACCACACAGTCAGCCAAGCCACCTTAACCTCTACATCATTTCCTGGTCCCTCACTACCCTTTTGAAAGCCAAGAGTAGGGTTTTTTTTTTTTTTTTTTTTCCCCACAACAAAATGAGCAGAAGGGGTGTGTGTTATTTCCAGGCAGGAACTTTAAGAGCCATCCCACGAGCTGCCTTGTTCTCGTTCCCTGCCTCAGCAATGGTGGAAACGTTAGGACGACGTCTTCTCTGGTTACAGTCCCTAAGCAACCACAATGAATGGAACTCACCTGCTGGCCCTGGCTGGACATGTCGTATGAGCAAGCAATAGCCCTTTATTGTTAGGTTACAGGCATTTGGGGGGTTTTGTGACCACAGAATGACCTCGCACACCCTCCCAGACAGCTCTCTCACCCCCTTCACAGCGCCCCTAGGAACGGCACGCACCTGCTCACCCTCTGAGGTCACTGAGGTCAGGTGTGCACCCCTGGACAGACAGAACTGCTGAGCACTGTACCACGTCTTTACTATGCGAGAAAAGTAATAGAAGTTTCCCTGGAAGTACCTCCATCCTTGGGAAACCATCTGCAGAATGTCATCTGGAGGAAGAGGGTGAAAGGAATGAAGGAACAGGGTAAAATGAACTGCACGCTGGTGTTCCTGTGTCTTCGGGGTACTGGCTACGTGGAATCCAGGGATAGCAAGGGACAGGACTGGGCCACTCTGGGATCTCTGGGGACACTTTCTCAGATCCTCAAAGTCTGACTGAGACAGACATGGCCTCTGGGATTAGAGAGGAGAGTTAGAGAAGAGAGAATGAGAGATGGGCCACAAATCTTTCCCACACAGGAAATGCAATTCTCCATTGGCCGTGGCCATTGGCTGAGCCCAGGGCTCTAGACAAGGAACTTAATGGGAAATGGGTGAGTTTGGGCCACTCCCTCATGCTTTCGCATTCTGCACCCCCGGGGCAGGGTCTCAAGGCAGACACTGGTCTCCTCTCTCCTAGCAGCCCCAAGTCCTCCCCAACCCCAGGGCTAAGCCCTCTCCTTAACTTTGTAGCCTAGATCCCTGCCCTCTCCCCTCCCTTTCTCTCCTCTCTCACCAGCCCAAAGTCCTCCTGTCTGAGACAGGCAAGGTCGTGTGGCCACTGGTCAACTTGCAATGCCATTTTCTGAGTCACTTACCTTGCTGTCTGAGCAACTTGTTGATATTCTCCAAACTGCTCTGGAGCCCCCGGACCTTTGTGTTTAACACACTGGCTTTATCCAAATCTTTTTTTAGCCCTGGGATTTGGGCATTTAAATGATTAACATCCTCCCAATTTTCTGTCAAGATCTGAATATGTGCGTTGGCATTCTCCACACTGGTTTTCAGCATCAGGATCTGAGTGTGCACCAGATCCAGGCTGGCATTCACCCTCTGGACCTGCACGCCAGCTGCCTCCACGCCGCCGCTGTTCTTCTTAACTTCAGGTCCTAGGGCACTGACATTGTCCACACGCTCCTTCAGCAACTGAGCGCTGGACTTTATGTCTGATATCGTGCCCATAAACCAGGGGTCTGGATTTGAGAAAGTGAAGAGGTCAGCTGTGGGGCTCCCCAGGAGCAGGACTGGGGGGTGTAGTCAAGGTGATAGAAGAAAGGGAGGGGAAGAGACAGGACCACGCTCCCAAAGAACCGAAACAGTCCTCAGACTGCCACCCACTTTCCACACAGCCATTAATGAACAACAAGGGTACAATGGGCACGACGTGCGCCAGGACTCTGGTGGATACAGATAACACTAACACAGAGAGACCGTGGGCCAGCAGGCTGCATGGTAGTTAAGGCGCTGGACTCTCAAATGGCTGACTACAGTTCAAGTCCCATTCCTGGTGGCCTGCTTTCTCACTTTCCCTCTCTCTCTCTCTCTGGTGAGCACATGTGCCAGCAAACTTAGAGCAAAAACTTAAAGATAATGGCAATAATAATAATAATAAGCAATAATAAGATTATGTAAATAAATAATTTAAATAATAATTTTAAAAGATCACAAGACCTCACAAGCAAGCAGAAGCAGGAATTAGAACCCAGTCCGGAATTTCCTTTGTGTATTCAGTGCACATTTGGTAGAAGGAAATCCTCAGTCACCCTTTGTCTCTCTCCCTAGGGTTACTTGACTGCAAGCCCTCTCCTTTCAGAGATCTCTGCGTGGCTCTCTGCTTGAGCAGCACCACCCCTCCCCTGTCTGTCCACAGGCACCTCCATGGCCATGGGATGGGCCAGCCATGCAGACTTCTACCCTGAATGGGCTTCTCCAGAGAACACAGAAAGGGAGCTGGTGAGATCACGTCTCCCCTTCCCTGTCCTACCCGTCTCACACTTGTCCATGTCACAGACTTGGCCACCTTATAAGGGACCAAAAATAGACCAAGAAGGCTCAAAGGAAAATCCCAGGGGAAGGCAGTGTTGAAGACCAGGGGCCTGGTGGGGGCAGGAGCGGGCCATGCTCAGGGCTACGAGTCTGAGACCAGCTACGCCGAGGTCAGGAAGGGAGAAGACAGACATTTCCTCACTCTGCTTTCTGGAAACCTAGCAGGAGGGAGAAGGCGCTGCCAGCAGCTGAGTCGTGGAACTTGGCAGACCCGGAGAGGAAGGAAGGTTAGCCACGCACACAGACTCAGGGAGGGAGGCTGCCCTGGACGTGCTCTTCACGGGGACAGAACAGAGAGAGCGTGAGGGGTCCTGGTAAGGGGACTGGATCATGGAGGTGGTGGCTCCTTGGCCAGTTTCTCCATCTGGCATCAGGGCTGAGGGCACCCTTGGGATGCAGTCTCTCGGGGATCAGAAACATCGCACTCCCTCTCAAGGGCTCTCCACAGGACTCCGAATCTGAGGGCCACAGAGCTGGGGGGAGGGGATGAAATGACACCCGATAAAGAACTAGGTGACTGTTTCCTGAGGACAAAAAAAGAATATCCTTGGGCGTGAGCGTGACGCACCAATCCTAAACTGGAAAATCTCCCGGAGTCTGCGAAGGAGAACAGCAGCTCATCTTACTGGCACGGGGCACTCTTCCCGCTCGAGGACAGGGAAAGGCCATGGGCGGGAGACACCCCACAGAGCAAGAAAGCGACCTGGATCTCGAAGGAGAAGACACCATGCAGAAGGACCAGGCCTGGCGAGGAGCCTGAGGACTTACAGAGAGTGGCCTGCAGCAAGATGGAGGCGGCCAGCGCCAGCACCAGGCAGATTATCGCCGTGCGGACCGTGAGGCACCTCCTCGGGACCAGAGCCGGAGCCGGCTTGGAAGGAGGCTCTGTGGAAGAAAAA